TGCCTGCTTCTTGCTGATGGTGCCTGCATGGGGAGGAATGGCTGCACGGGGCTCTTGCCTCTTTGGGAAAGGGCTGAGGACAGAAGCCCACTCACGAAAGCTTGGAAAGGGCTGCCCCAGCCTTTGCTGGTCTGCTTTCTGCTTCCGAAGTTTGTCGCCGGTACCACCAGCAAGCTCCTTGGGAGCTCCTGTGAGCCTGACAGTGACAGGTCTTGGTGCACAGGGCATGGCTTTGGGATGGGATCTGGCTTTGAGATGGGGGCTGGTTTCGGGATGGGGACTGACCTGGCTCCACCTTCCCCTGACACAGAGCACGTGGCCCAGAGACCCCAGCCTGGTGACCCCGGCAGCTCTGGCTGGTGCCAAGATCTCTGCTGGTGTGCTCCAGCAAAGTACAACTTGGCCTCTCCAAAATGCCCCACCGCTTGCTTCCCTTTACCAGGGCATTCGCAAGCGAGGAAAGCAAAAAGAAAAACACCGAGCTTTTATGAAACAAGGTTATCGTGTCCATCCATCACCCCTCCCCGGGGCTGCCGCAGAGCTCTGCCGTCCGGGGCTGTGGAGAGCCTTCCCGGGGGCCCTCTGTGCCGCTGGGCAGACGTCAGGCTGCCAACTGTGCAAACTGTGATAAGGAAGTGGGGTGACCAGCAACAGCCGTGCACCAGGCATGAGGATGTATGTGTACAGAGCACGGCGATCGGGGGTCCCCGGGAGAGCCCTCCACACAGATTTGTTTGCTCTCGGTTTCTTTATGGGAAGCGTTTAGGGGAGCAGCACAAATAAGAGTGCGGGGTTTTTATTTGATTTTCATGGAAATGTCAAGTGAAGCATTTGTCTTAGGGATACTTGATGCAAGGTTAGGACGTACGACGATGGACTGGAATGGATCCAGGTGCTGCTGGGACCACCACTGGCCCCGTCGGGTCCCCAACTGCGCAGAGTAGGAAGGACAGGCAAAATAAATGCTCCTATCAGAAATTCCTCCTGCCAGAAAACCGTTGATTTGATATTTCACAAAGGGCCTTCTCCCATGTTAAAGAGTGGGGGTGAAGTGTCCATGGGGCCAGGCATGTGCCATCGCAGGAGGGGGCACTGGCATGGGCTGCCTGGACAGTTGGGTCCCAGCCCCACCACTGCAAGGATCTCCAAGTGGGAGATTTGTTTCAGAAGGGACAAAAACCCCTTCCCCGTGTTCCCCCTGCTGCGGTGCCATACAGCAGGCTCTGCCCCAGCAGATCACCACCCCAAATCCTAAGGGGCTGAGGGAAGCCCTGGCAGCGTTGTGCTCAGCTTGCCTCATTTTCCTGTTTCCTCGGACACATTTGTCTCTCTTCTGAGAGCAAAGCTGTAGGAGAGCTCCTTCTCTGCTCTCCTGCCCTTTTCTGGTGGGATTGCCCCTACCCGTAGGCACGGCACAGGAGGAAGCATGGTTGAACCTGCCCCCGCGATGGGGTGGACATGAGCAGAAGCTGGCCCTTCTGCACGGGGGTGGACTCAAACCCATGCTGCTCAACCAGCAATGCTTGTGGGTGAAGCTCTCCAGGGCTTGTGGTATCAGAATCAGGACAGAAATGTCACTGAACTTTCTCTGAGCTCAATGTCATGTCGCCCTCCTGCCTCCCCTGTCCCATTTATCCTCAGCAGCTCCTGGCACAGGGAGTTTGATGGCCCAGCATCAAGCTAGCAGGAGCAGCACCTCCATCCTGGCATCTCCTCGGGTGGGTGGGTGTGGAGCAGAGGTACATGTATTTACACACAAAAGCAAACAGCTGCAAATCTCTCATCTAAGCTTCTTGTGCTTGATTGGGGCGGAGTTCATTTTTCACAGAGAAAGGTGCCTTTCTGGAATGATTTATAACCCCAGTGGATCTGTTGGAGTTGGAAATTAGCCCTTTTAATTGTCAGGTGGACAAAAGCAGGATTCCAGTGGCTGTCGCCCCAGCAATTTTTCATTCTCCATCACAGGGATGAGATGATATAAATCACTCCTTGTGGCCCTAATAATCTTTCTATAAATATCAGGGAAATTCATTTTTTGCTTGGGGGAAAAAAATTAGAGAGAAGATACTTTGCCTCTATGGCAGTGTTTAAAATGTGATTCCAAATTAATTTCCTTCCACCTTTCCCAGCCAGATGCCTTATTTGTCAAAGCTAAAGATGTTTGAACAGTGGAAGTTTCTCCCCCTCCTCTTTAATGTTCATTTTCCTAAGGTCCTGCCAGAGTGATGGAAGACAGCTCAGGAAACCAGATCGTGGCCAGAGATGTTCCCAGCCCTTCAGAGGAGAAGAAAAGCTGTGCCACAGAGCTGGGAAGGACAGGGTGATGTGAGATGTGGTGGAGGATGTGTAGGAACCAGGGGCACTTCTCTGCCTCTCATCCCCTCTACTGTCAGCCATCACCTCGGATGCCCCTTTGTCTGGGCAGGAGGGTGGTGGCTGGGATCTCTGACTCCTTGCACTTACACCAGCAGGATCCACACATTTCATCTTGTGATATCCTGGTGTTTGCCGTAAGAATGTGAGGGACAGTTTCCATGAGACTGGGGAGGGACAGATCTCAGCCCAGGGGCAGCAGGGTCAGGACCACACTAAGGATGCCAGCCAGGCTGGCATCAGATGTGTCACAGCCTTGCATCGCACAAGACATTTGTCCCTTGCATCTGCACCTCATGCATCTGCCAGATTTATCCTCAGAGGCACAGGACCCCTTTTTCCAGCTGTGGCTGGGCACAGGTGCTGTGGTGCCTTACTGGGCAGAAACCAGGTCGGAGCATGAATTGCCACAGCTGCTGATGGGGTCCTGGGCTCTGCCAGCTCCTCAAATTCCCATCTTCCAGTCCCATGGCATCTTCTGACACAGCCACCCCAAGGATGAAACCCCTCACGCTCTCCCAGGGAAGCACAGCGCTGCTGCCCCACTTGCTTTTCCCGTCTGGTTTTAAGGCTCTGAAGGACTTTGCTTCCCTCATCTCCCATCATCCACAGCCAGCCTCAGACGTGCTGCTCTTTCCTCCTTGAAACCTATCAGTCCACAGCAAGACACATTAGTGTCTCTTACACACAGCAAATAGCAACCGCTCTGCCTAAATAGCAGAATAAGCAACAGCATAAGTGAAAAGGATCTGTCCCAGCAATTTATCAGAGAGGATGACAATCAGCATAATTCACCTTATTTATATGCAGCTGCTGTACAGGACAGAGACCCATTTCAATAAGGTCAGTGCAATTAGAGAAATGAGGAAGGGAAGCACTTTAACCCTGGGTCTGCTTCTGTGAGAAGGGAAGAAGCCCAGAAGCCACCTCCTCAAATAGCCGTGAGGCTGAGAGCTGGGACACAGAATCACAGGATGATTTGGGTTGGAAGGGACCTTAAAGCCCATCCAGTGCCACCCCCTGCCATGGGCAGGGACACCTCCCACTAGCCCAGGTTGCCCAAAGCCTCATCCAGCCTGGCCTTGAACCCCTCCAGGGATGGGGCATCCACAGCTTCTCTGGGCACCCTGGGCCACTGCCTCACCCCCCGCACAGGAAAACATTTCTTCCTCACATCTCATCTCCATCTCCCCTCTTGCAGCTTCAAACCGTTCCCCCTGGTCCTGTCCCTGCACCCCCTGATCCAGAGCCCCCCCATCGCTCCTGTAGCCCCCTTTCAGCACTGGGAGGTGCTGGAAGGTCTCCCCGGAGCCTTCTCTTCTCCAGGCTGCACACCCCCAACTCTCTCAGCCTGTCCTCGCACGGGAGCTGCTCCAGCCTCGGCCCATCTCCATGGCTCCTCTGGCCCCGCTCCAGCAGCTCCGTGTCTGTCCTGTGCTGAGGACCCCAGAGCTGGGTGCAGTATGCATACCATGTCCTGAGGATGGACGGAGAGGTGGGCAGAGAGGCTCAGGCAGGTGAGGACAGTGGCTCTTCACCCACACCCCTCCTACCAGCCCCATGCAGACCTCTTTGGGGAGGGCTGCCAGGCTTCTGAGCTACCAAGACTTTGAGTCCGTGGTCCTTGCAACAAGGTCACCTTTCTGGAGTGGATCTGAATTATTTCTTGTGCTGCATCTGTCACCAGCTATCAATGAGCAAAACTGGAAAGGGGAGCTAAAATCTGTTTAGCTGACCACGAGCTGTACATGCGCAGAGTCACTTTGGAGCATCAGTAGCAGTGCCACAGCTAAGGATCACAATCCTGCTCTCTGAGAGGTGACACAAACCCAGTCAGCCAGCCAGCTGCTAGCCATGGAGACCTCCATGAGTGCAGAACCTCCCAGGAAGCTTTTTCTTTAACGAAGAAATGAAAAGGGTAAAACAGAAGGAACCGGCTCCCTTCCCTGCTGTCAGAGCGAGTGGATGAGCCTTTGGCAGAAATGCAGTTCCCAAAGAGCATATTTGCAGTATATTCATGGGTTTAAGGAGTGAGACTCCTTGTTCAGACATTTTTGTCAAAAGTTTGGGACCATGCATCTTAGCCTCCGGGTGTCCTGATTGCTCTGGCTGCTTTCCCTCTGCAGTGCTCAGGGGCTTCGGCTTGGCTGCTGCCTTTGGCTGGAAAACAGTGATGGGGGAGCAACAGTTAAGCAATAGCTGCTCCTTCAGCCCATTTGCAGGAGAGGACGGGTGTTTGTAGCCTGCCAGGGCTGAGTGAGAACAGCTACCAAATGGGGCTCTGATGTGTGTGGCTGAACAAGGATCTGGCAATGGGGTAGACTTACCCAGCTCTGCTTAAGCCAAAAAAATGGCCTGTGTTTCTGGACAGGGAGAAGAGAGGGAGGTCGTCCCTGCCAGGACCCTTTCCCATCCAGCTCCCACACTGAATGAAGGATGGGAACAGGAGACGGACTGCTGGTCCCTCATGGACAAACCCCTCTGCTGCTGGGCTCTTCCGTGCCTCCTGTGGCACACGGCTGGTGGGAGTGGATCTGGAGAGGCTGGTTAGCAATCTGGAAGCCAGTTAATTTTTTCCAGTTGGTGGGATTCATGCTGATGAACCAATCATCAGATTTAATGTACCTTAAACCTTCCTCATGGGCAACTTTAATCGTGCAATTAAAGCACCACGGCATTGCTAATTAAGAGGAGAAAATATCCAGCTTGGTAATTATAACGCTTGTGAATACAGTTTTGCATCCACGGACCTTTATGAAGACAGTCAGTGGAGACTGGCTTTCCAGCTGGTGGGGCAAGGGGGGTGCAGAGCTATATGGTGTGAGAGGAGGGGAAACCCCCTCCAGCTGCACCCCAACACCCATGTCCCATGCTGGTGGGCACAACCCTGGCTGCACAGGGTGAGGGTAAGCCCTAGAAACACCGAGGGACAAAATGACACAGGTGAAGCCATCGGCAGGGGAAGGCAGGCCAGAGACACAGACTCCAGCTGTGATGGGCAAACCTGCACGGCTGTGTCACCAGATGTGGTCCAGATGCTGATGTTGGAAGGGGAGGAAAGGTGGAGGCACATGACCTGCTCTCCTTGGGTGTGGGGGGACGGACCCCTTTGCCCAGTGCACTGCAGGTGGGAGTGCTGCTTGCCCCTGGATACCTACCCAGGGAGACCACAGCCTGTGCTCCCTTCCTTCAGTGCAGAAGGGGTGGAGAAGCATGCCAGGAGGAGGAAAGATAGCTAGTGGGCTAAGGGAGCCCAGCAGAGCTTGCTCCATTCCCTTCTCTCCCCAAACTCCTTATCCTTTTCTAAGTCGGAGATGCTCTGAGAAGCTTCAGCCTTCTCTCTCCTTTTTCTGCTAACAGTGATTTTTTTCCCACCTGTGGAAGAACATCAAAGAGCAACTGTGAGCTCCTTGTGTTGTGTCTTCATGTGAAACAGCTGATACAGGAAACAGGACACTAGTCTTGCTGGGCTGACTACAAGCAAAACACCTTTTTCCTGGCTCTGAGATACACGGGGCCCCCAGAAATGTGCCCGGGGGTCACACGTGCCTCTGTCAACCAGCAAACCTGGGATTTCAGTGCACCCATTACCAGGCTGGGATCCACCTCCCTGGAAGCGTATGTACCATATATCAAGGTGACAGATAAATGTATGCCAAAATGCCCTGTCATTGCAACACCAAACAAACACGTTGGAATATGTTTCACATTTCTTTGCAAATCAGTGTGGATTTCAAGGAGACTTTCCATACAAGTCCCAGCGCACACATGCCAGCTCCGAGCCGCAGGTTTGGTGGCTGTGTTGCTCCTCAGTGATGCTTGCTTAGGTTCTGCCCGCTGGCAGGGTACCAGGCCGTCATACCCAGGGCTAGACTGCACCAATGCCTTGGGTGTCCCACACAGGGTGGCTTCTGCCGTGAGTGTACCAAAATAAACCTTTCAAGGGCAGGAGGAGTGATAGTTTCAAAGATGTGCTGTGGGAGTTATGCAAACGTCCTTTCTGTGATGCCAGGCAAGAAAATTTAAGAAACTTAGTGACTCACAAGATTTTCATTGTTGGTTTGCAAGCCACTTTGTAAAATACAGCCAAGACCAGCTGGTAAGATTGTATCACCTTCTGTTCATCCCATGCGAAGCCCCACACCCTAAAAAAAACCCCAACCAATAGTTTGTTTTCCAAACCACACAATCTAGGACTCTTCAGGATCCAGGTATCAGACTTCAGACTGCAATGAAGATGCGGCAGAGACACAAATTGCTTGTGAAGTTTGGGCTGGACATCAGGAAAAACTTCTTCCCTCAGAGGACTATCCAGCCCTGGGATGGGTCACTGGGGAGGCGGCAGCATCTCCTTCCTTGGGGATTTCTAGGGCTAATAATCTAAACACAGCCATGACCACCCTGGTGTGGTTTTGGGGATAGTCCCAGCACTTTCAGGAGACTGCTCCAAGCGCTAGAGGCCCCTTCCACAGCTGCTGCTGCTGGGATCCTTGGGTTCACACTTGTCTCATACCAGAGCTTCCAGCTTACAGTCCCAGACCTGGCTGCTGCTTAGTCTGTTTGCATCCCAGATCTGCTGGGCTGTGTGTGCATGGATAACTTAGCTCAGCAAGCATGCTGGAGGGTGCAGGACAAGATGATCTCAGCATCTCCAGCACCTTTAATCCCTCTAAAACTCAAGCAAGTGGCTGATTACATTTACTAGGAAAACAAATCAAACCATCCCCCAACAACACCTGAAACCATTTATTTTTTTTCTGGTTAGGATCAAATGAAAAGGACAGACGGCTGCAGAGCTGCCCTTTCCCCACAAACAAAACAATGTATTTTTTGTCCCTGGCTGAATATTTTATTGTTTGCCACTTTTCCTCTGAGTTTGCTATGTTTAGCTGCTGACACAGATGAAGGGTGAGAACAATGCTAGGATGGAGCTCAGGGTTATGATGGGAATGAAACAAATTTCATTTGTGTTTGGGAGGTCTCTGTAGTCCCTATAAGAAGTGCCAAAGAGCAGATGGACTGTGATAGATGGATCTGACAGCATTCGAAGACCTTCACCAGTTTTGGAATGTGGTTTTTTTGGTTTGAATTCTTCTTGTCCAGGTTCACGTCATGAACAGAGGTTGTTGCTCTGGATTACCAGTGTGCAGGTGCCTGGGAAGCTGTTGCTGGAGGAGTTTAGAACAAGTCCACAGGAAAGACCTGGTGTTTTGCACCAGTGCTTACACTGACGATGGTGCAACGCAGTGGGAGGCTGGGGACCTTACATCTGCTACCAGCATATTCAGAGGCTTGGTGTGATCGCCTTGCATGGGAAGATGCTCCTCACTCCCTCTGAGCAGTAGGACCATGCCAAAAACTTGTTCTGTACTTGGCGTAAAATCCAGATTGCGCCCATGTCACTGCTTCTTATGTGCCGGCTTCTTCCCCTTCCTGAAAACAAGATGCTGCTGCTAACACTTCCCTGTGAAGGAGAAAGGGATCCAAAAGCTGGTGGTGCTCAGCTGTGCGGGGAAGAGGGCTGTGCTGGCCCCTGTGATGCTCTTCACTTGCCTCTGCTGGAGTGCTGGACATCCTTATATTAAAGCTCAGCCCCTGTGTATATATCTATGCTATATGCATGGGGTCAGAGGGCTCACAGACCTTCCAAAGCTACATACTGGTTCCCACAGGGGCTGGAATGAAGCTGTTGGTGGTTTGTACATCCTTTCTTCATTTATGCATCTTTGCTCTTTTTGGTCTGGTGAAAACTGTGGGGTTTTTCAGAAGCCTTGGATAATTCTGTCTAAAACCCTCTGGCAAGACTGAGTTTTGGAAACAGCTTTTTTCTAATTCTAGCATTAGGCTGCCTGTTTCCATCCAGCTCCTGCAAGCTGTAGCGTTTCCCCAGATAAGCTTTAGAAAAGAGCCTTTACTCCGACAGCATGCCAGGCTGTCTCACCTATGTAAGGCTGCACGGTGTCACCTTGGCTTCGCTCCTGCAGAAGGACATCTGCACCAGGCAGCAGAGCAGCACTCGCAGAAAACTGGGATTTGGATGTTTCTTGCCTTTTTTTTTTTTTTTTTTAATGTAGGGAAGAAGAGCAGGGCAGAGTCAGGGATGCTTTCAACTGTACTGATTTCAAGGCAAGGAGTGAGACCTTCTGATTTTTCTATGGCAGCACCATGCAGGAGTCCAGTTTGCGATACAGCCAGTCTGGACCACCATGGTTCCGGTTTGCCCAGCACTACAAGTGGAATTACTCCACCTGGAAGAGTAGGACCCTCCTCATACAACTTGTCACAGCAGCTGTGAAGTCCAGGCTTTGAGCAAGGACCTGTGCCCTTTGCTGCACATGCCTCTTGCTCACAGCCTGATGCATAGGATTTTGCTAGATTCGCAAAACCTTTGTGGGGTGAAATTCCCCATTTCCTGCTCTACAACATTTGGGGGTGCAAAGGAGTGTGAGATGAATTGAATTGTGGGAAGAAGGGCCAAGCAGAGAGGAGGTGATGTGAGGTGGAGTCTGGGGTGATATCAGATGACTTCAGGCGTGTGGAGTGGTGTGACGGGATGTAAGGTAGTGTTGGGGGTGGGAAGCTGTCCAAAGGCGGTGCAAGGTGGGAACTGGGCTTTGTAAAGGGCTGTGGGGTGGTGCTCAGGCGCGGAAGGCAAGGCAGTGACCGGGGGTGTGAGACAGTGCAGGGGCAAGGAGCATGCAAAGGATGCACAGACCATCAGCCGAGGGGCGATGCATGATCTGAGGACCAAGAGTTTGCCTGAGAGCCAGCCCAGCCAGCCCCCAAAACCCCCTCCAGACCACAGACCAGCTTGGGGACAGGGCCTGGGCTGACCTGGGATTGCAAGAAAAAGGGAGCACAGCCTTGCAAAAACACAAGGTTTGGGGCAAGGGGGCCAATGCCTCTTTTTAACACTTGACTGTGAATAACATGCTTCTGTTTCAGTGTCTGTGTCATCTTGGAGTTGAGACTGAAGGCATCATGCTGAAACTGGATTGAAACGAGCCGGGATTTTGTGCCTGTCTGTGGCCGTCACAGTGGCTATGACTCCCTTATTTCCATCTCTGTCTCTTCCCAGTTCCACCAAAGGGAAGTACACAGCTGCTCTTCTGGTGCTTTCTGATGCCCAGCTTTATTGCAGGGTCAGGGAAAGGGGCAATCGGTGGCAGCGATGCCGTGGAGCTGCCCCTTGGCACCCTCCCGGCCATGCCATCACCCCACCCAAACCTCCTGGGCTGAGAAGGGAGCCAAGAGGGAGCGACATGGGGTCGATGCTCGCATCTGCAGCCCCACAAAAGTAGCCCTTGGTGGTCCCATCTGGGCCACCTGCAGAGCACTAGTCCCAGACGGTGACTTCGGACTGAGAAGAGCGGCTCATTCCCAGCTAGCGTATCCTCGACAGGTTCATCTATCATCTCCCAAGCTCTGCCAGCTGATTAGCAGATGTTGTCCTGTCCCTAGAGGATGGAGAGAGAGGGAAACAAATGGACCGAACTACAGATGGCTGGCAGAGCCCTCCCCACGCTCGCTGTTTCTGAGACAATCCTGCTGCTCCACGGCCCCTTCGACAGGCGACGTATGCAAGGGTGGGGCTGGTGGGCTGGGAAAAGCAGGCAAGATGTGCTCAGGGCAGGGATCAGTGGAAGCCCTGTGGTATTGACCCCAAGAGGCTGGGGTGATAATCAGGGACCCACCTATGTGACAGAGGGCTGGAGATGTGCTCTGCCAAGCACAGGTTTAGTGCTGGTTTGTGTAGGCTCTTCTTGTGACACGGGGACTAGCCAGGTGTCTGGGCTGCAAGCCCAGTGTAGATGTACAGCTCTTGAGCTGGGCTGCAGGCGAAGGTCTGCTGCTGTGCCATGTGCCCTGCAAAACCACACCATGAGATGGAACTGCAAGGACAGGCAGCCTTGGCTGGGTTTTGCAGGGGGAATGGCACTGGTGACAGAAGGAGGACACCAGTAGCAGTACTTCTGGTGGTCCACAAAGAGGCAGGAACCAAGATCTTCATACACAGAGCAAGGGTATCAACTGCAGAAAACAATTAAAAAAAAAAAAAAAACAAACCACCTTCTACAGGGCTACTGGGAGGGGACTTCTGGCAGGTGACACTAGCTGGTTGCAGTGAAGGTTCTGCACCTCCCTTCTGGGTGGCTTCAGATTTTGGTGGCTTCACTCTGTGCTGCAATGATGGCTGTGGAGCCCTGTACATTTTGGACATGGTATGTTCGACTGAAATTTTTTTGCTGGCCACTTCTCTGCTAGTTTCCTCTCATCAGAGGTAACTCAGGAGGTCCTGGTCTTCCACATGTCATTGGCCACAGAGAGGGCTCAATCGAGAGCAGGACATGCCTGTCACCCTGTACTGTAGGGATTTCATATTTTGTGCAGGTTCCAAGCTGGTGCTCTGTCTCCCATGCCTGTTAAAATCTTTGCATGTGTCCTGCTTCCATCCAAAGCAAGCAGTGAGACACACGGAGGTGTATGACCCCATCCGGAGCAGAGCCTGCCCCAGCCCCATTGCTCTCCAAGCCTCCTCACGTGCTCGTGCTGCCCAGGTGCTGGGAGATGGCTCTCAACAGCTCTGCCCTGGTGCACAAATTCACCTGTAATTTGTCATTTAACATAATTTTCCCCCTGAGTGCATCTTAAATAATTGTGAATCATTGCTACAGGTAATTAACGGGTTATTTTACAGCATTAAATGCTAAATTATTACAATTGCTTGGTGCAAATCTGCTGCGCTTGTTGTTCCCATCCTTCCTGCTGGCCTGTCTCTCCGCTCCTGATACAGCACTGATTTCTCTGCCCTTAATTAAATATTGGTGGGGGGAACCACTCCAGTGCTTCTTGAATCAAGAGTCCCTGGTTGCTGGTTCCTGCATGGGTAGAGATGACGGTGGTTTGCAGGTACATACTGGGGTTCACGCAGCTGGTTGAAGGCAGCAAATGCTGGCGTGCACACTGACTAGCGCAGGCTGTGGGGATGTCCCATTGCTTGGTTCCCTTTCTGGTAGGCTGTGCTCATGCTGTGTCTTCATCCTTTCCCACACAGAGAACTTTTCTTTCTTTTTCTTTTACCCCCAAATTTGTCCCCACCTGAGAACGGGGGGGTAACAGCCCTTGTCTAAGTCTCACACCCAAAAGCAAGGGGTTGCAGACAGGAGGGTGTTGCAGCGTCAGGCACAGGGCATTCGGTAAAGGCAGAGAGTCCCTGGCTCTGTCGGTGTGTGGCATAACACGGACCAGCCAGCACCAGAGCTTGGCAAATGTCCCGGGCTGTCCTGGGTGCGGTTGGCTGGGGTCAGCAAACCTCCTCCCCCAGCTCTGCCTCCCCTTTTTTTCTCTCTTCTTCTGATGTCCTTGAGGAGGTGAAGGGTGTCAAGAGAGCTGGGGAGCAAAGCCAGCCCCAAGCTGCTGCAATTTTCCCATGAATCATGTTTGGCTTCCCTTGCACCCCCAAGAGTGGGCATTTCTGCTCCATGCTCTGATGGCAAGTGGAGAAGCAAGAATTTAGGAACAAACTCTGGAGCTTCTAGCCTTTGTTTTTTCCAGCCTTCTCTCCCAAGCCGTGATAAAAACCTGTGATACCAACAACTCTGGGATGTGCAGCACATGTACATCCTGCTGGCGGTATTGCTCCCTTGTCTTTAAGTAGCATTCAGTGCAAGACTGCCACAGAATCTGGGGACAGAGTCTGAAGAGGGACCAGCAAGCCACCAGGGATGTGTGTGGCTGTAGCACAGCCTTCAGCTGCCATTGCTGGAAGCAGCTCAGTTATAAAGAGGCTGTTGTATTACTGTGCAGGGTGTGATGTGTGAAATATGTTGGTAGCAATCAGTCCAGGGAGATCTGTGGCAAGGAAAGGAGTGTTATTAATAAGAAAACAGATCAGCACCTAGAAGCAGAACAAACAGACAGCACGGAGGGACCCAGACCACCGGGGATGCTGGATTGCAAACAAAACCCTTCTACATGCTTGGAAGCAAAAATTGAGGCTGCATGCAGAGCTGGCCACTGGGGGTAAAGATGGGAAAATGAAGGTATTACTACCTCAGTAGGGAAAAATAGAATTGAACCAGAGCCAGGAATAATGCTTGAATCACTGTGACTGGTCCTAGAAGTACTCGATCAATACGGGGACCCAGACAGAGCCTGATTTTCCTTACTTGGAATAGAAATCTGCAAGAGAGGACAGATCCTTCCACCCCCAGACAGATACCTGACATGCCACATGTCACTCTTGAGCTAATCAATTTTCCTAACGAGAGACAAGTTGTTTGTTTGTGTGACAAATGATTCACCCGAGGGGCTGCTGGGAGAGGTGGGGGGAAGGACAGAGCAGACTGATGCCAGCCCTGGCGTGGGATGAGCGTGTGCTCCTGCCGCACAGCCCTCAGCACCAGGAGGCAGAGCAACTGAAGGCGGGTTATGTAGAACTCAAGCTGGCTCATTTGGCCTTGCTGCCCCTCTGCACAGAGCAGGCAGTGTGCGTGTGCTGTTGGTTTGCTGCAGCATGAAACAAGAGAGGGTATTTTCCCTTTGTTTTGTACAAGGAAACTTGTTGCTTTGTACAGCAGCACACCAGGGGCTTGCAGAGGGACGTGCACTGTGTCCCAGGTGCAGAGCTTTTAATTCTTGAAACTGCCCACTGGATGCTCTTGAGCACCGGAGCACACCCAGTGTGAGCAGCATGGCAATCACCGCAAAGTGAGGACTGTGCCGTAAATTTGCTCCATAAATGATGGTTCTTAGAATCGTTAACAAGGTGATTTCCAGTGCTGGCTGGTTTGATCTTTGCAGCTCTCCCTGGCCTGGGGTAGGAGGTGGCCCAGAGGGGTGGCTGCAGTGGGGAGAGCTCTGGGCAGCAGGCATGGGTGCAAAGAGAGCACCTCGAGCTTCACAGGCAGCTCACAAAAAAGCAGAAGCACCCAAGTCTGCTTGTGAAACAGTGGGGAACAGGTACAAGGATGGCAGTAAGTACAGCCTGGGGGAGAGACAAAACCAGTTTTCACAGAGTCCAGTTCCCAGCTGGACAGCTGGAAGGAGACTCACCCAGGTGTTGGGGAACAGGGCTGGTTTCCCATGCACTGGGACAGGGGTGAGAGTGGGGTCCAACTTTGTGCTGGTGGGATCTGCCGACTCCTGGGATGCTCCTTGTCCGGGAGCATCCCTCTGACCTCTGCCCCTTCCCTCCTCTGCAGCCTGCCAGCTGGGATTTTACAAGTCAGCCCCTGGGGACGAGCCGTGTGCAAAGTGCCCCTTGCACAGCCACTCGGAGAGCCGGGCAGCCCGCGTGTGCCGCTGCGACAGCAGCTTCTACAGGGCAGTGCAGGACCCCCCCTCGGCCGCCTGCACGCGTGAGTACCCCGGCTGCCCAGGTGCCCGTCCATGCTGCAGCGGGGCAGGCGTCACGTCCTCAGACACAGCAGATGCTGCCTGGCTGAGCCCAGCATGCACCCTTGCCTCTGTGCATGCTGCCCAAGGGGCTGTAGCAGCCTTTCAATGCCCCGTCTCCCTTTGGCACGTGAGCTGAGACCCCCTTAGCTGCGCTCCCTCGCTGCCTTCTGTCTCATCCTCATCCTGCTGCTTTCCAAACATCTCTGGCCAGAGTCTGCTCCGCTCTCGGGGCTCTCTCCTGCGATGGAGCAGGGTGAGACCATGGCTTTGCTGACAAGCTTGCATGCTCACGCACCAGACAGTGTGCCAGTCACTTGCTGGCTGCTTTCCTTTGCAGAAATGCCCAGGCTGGGCAGACCCCTGGGAGGCCACGGGGCAATGCAAGTTTCAGCTTGGTTTCAGCTCAGCTCTCTGCAATAGGCTGCTTTGAGGAGCCTGGTGCAAAAAGGGGACAAGAACATCCCAAGAGAAGTCCTTCTCTCTGTAGTTGGTCCAGGAGTGCAGAAAGGTATGCGGCTGCTAGCTGAAGCCAGGGTGAAAGACATGTCAGCAACGTGTGACTTGTTTCCCCAGGGGATATCCACCCAAGACTGTTAATCCCACCCAGGAAATGCAAGTTTACCCTTCCCTTTAGATGAGCAAGTCCTGTTCTCCACTGTCCATCCCATCAACACTTTGGCACTTCCTCCAAAAGCTTCATGCATCCCCATTGCTTCCTGCTTCCCCCAGGACAAACATCAGCTCTTCCCTGCCTGACATTTGGCATCCTGATCCAGGGCATCTTACCTCCACGGCATTTCACCCTGAGACCTGTCTGTGTCTTTGCTGTCTTCTGTTTGGAGCATTTCCCCCTCCGGGCAGCTCCGTATTCCCTGTAGCATCGTTTGTACGTGCAGGTATACGCTGCCCAAGGTGCAAATCTCCATTGGTCCCATGCTCTGCCCGTCCCAACACACTTCAGCATCCCCTGCTCTGCCTGAACCCCTGCTTCTTTTCCAGGCCCCCCCTCTGCTCCTGTGAACCTGATCTCCAGTGTAAACGGCACCTCGGTGATACTGGAGTGGGGCCCACCCCTGGACAAGGGGGGACGCGCTGACATCGTGTACAACGTGGTCTGCAGGCGCTGCGCAGGGGACGCTGGCCAGTGCGAGGCGTGCGGCAGCGGGATCCGCTTCGTGCCCCAGCAGATGAGCCTGGTGCAGGGAGTGCTGACGGTGACCAACCTCCTGGCCCACACCAACTACTCTTTTTGGGTGGAGGCCGTCAACGGTGTCTCTGACCTCAGCCTGGAGTCCAGGAGAGCTGCTGTCGCCAACATCACGACAAACCAGGCAGGTAGGAGGAGCAGACACCCCCTCCAGACCTTGCCTGTGTGGGTGATGCTGATGTTGCTCCCACGCTGCTCCAGCCAGTACCTACAGGAGCTGGAACCTGCCCTAGCAGCCAAGGGCTGGGTTGGTGATGGCTGTGGGACCCCCAGGAGACGTGGCCCCTATCCTCTCCGCTGCTGGAGATGGGTTCAGGGAGCCAGGGTGGGCTGGGGACGAGCTGCTGCCCAAGGCAACTCTTACCCTTCCCTGGTTCATGGTATCCTTTTTCATCCTCCTTTCCCTCCCCTTCAGCCTGCCGCTGCTGGTGGAGGCTCCTTTTCTGCAGGAGACAGGGAGCACCAAGAACACTTGTTTATTGACAGGAACACTAAGTGGAGCATGAATCTTTCAGGCTGTTCCTCCAGCCTTCTGTCCCTTCCGAAAGGGCCAAGCAGCAGTTCATGCTCTGCTCTTAGCTCACTCCAATGCCAGGCCCTGGCAGGTGACAGCAACTTTGCTGGGAAGTCTCTCTTGGGCATGTCTCATCTTTGCAAATCCCTTGCTGTGAAATGCTCTTTCCCCAGGAAACACTTCTGAGCAATGCTCTAGCCCAAGTGGGCCAGGACCTTGCTCCAGGGTCACCTGGGCACCTCCCCAGAGCAGGGCGCAGACAAGCCCCTTTCCATGGAGGAGCACGCTGCAGGCAGACAGGACAGGGCAGGGACTGATGGTTTTTGTTAATCCTCCCAGTTGGAAACGAGCTGACAGGATCTTCTTGTGATGCTGAGCCTCTTCTGCTCTCATAGAAGTGGTCCTGCAGAAGAAACTTGGGGAGCCTCGCTGGGTTAGCTCATGGCTGGCAGGAGAATGAGGCCCTTTTGTTACTAATGCCTGCCCATAACACTTCTCCAGCACTTCACTGAGCCCACGTGGAAATCGCTCAGTCCTGCCGGCTCACTCCTGCGTGGTCCCTCCACCAGCCTGATGCCTCGCAGAGGGATGCTCTTAAGAAGTGCTGAATGTTCCCATTTCACCCCCTCTGCTGGGAAGTGGATACTGAGCTGCAAAACCAGCAGGTTGGGAATGTGGTAGCCATTGAAGTTTAGCTCCTGTGCCTGCATGGTGCTCCAGGTGCTGCCCACCACAGAGCATCCCTGCCTGCCTGGAGGACCAAGGGACACCTGCCGTGCTGCTCGGGGTGGCTCGCCCATGCTGGGTGCTGGTCACTCTTGTTCCCCCAGCCCTGGGCAGCTGAGCAGGGCAGGAGTGGGTGCAGCAGAGATGCCCTGGGGCTGTTTGGAGAGACGGCACTGTGCGTGCCCGTGGGGTTTAGCTGCTTCCCACCATCCCACCCTGTCCCAGCTCCTCAGGGTCCTGTATCCCAGCAGTGGTTTCTGCTTCTCAGAGGAGCCAGCTGGAAAATGAACTGAGGTATAACTGCTGCCTTTCAGTCCTGGGTGCCCCACTGCTGCTGAAGCCCTTGCAGCCTCTTTTGGTCTTTGCTGCTCCAGTGACACCCCTGCGCTGCAGCCGTGGCACACAGCAGCTCCATCTTCCCCAGAGCCGCCACATCCCATTTTTCGTTTGGCAGTTAGGGTCATAAGGGGCCCCTGACCCCTTCCCATGGGTTGGACCCAATGGCTGTGCGTGGCCACCACAGCACCCCACCACATCTCTGGGATCCTTCCAGGGGGGATATTCCCAGAGGGAAAAGAGACTGGTGAGTTAGCTTCTCCAGCTGTGGCAGCTCCAGTTCACATGGACAGGGCAGGCACAAGGACTGATTCACAGGCTCCCAGCCCAGGTCCAGGCAGATGACAAGTATCTCAGGGCAAGAGAGAAGTCCCAGGGCACCTCTAGACTGATGCTCAGTCCGTGATCATCCCTCTGGGCATTTATCATCTCCCCTTTTCCTCCTCCCCTGCCTCTCTCCCCCTTCCCCAGGTGGGGCAGGAGGGGTCAGGGTCCTGCTGGGGATCTCCACGATCTCCAGCCCCACAGCCCCTTCTCCTTTCTGGCTCCATATCACAGCAAAGCACCAGTGTCCCCTCCTGCCCATGCAGGGACTGTGCCCTCCTCTTTCATCTCCTCAGAGCCTGCTCCCTCCATGTGAAAGAGATTGAGGCAACTGAAGCGAACAAAAGCCTGTTTGCAAGCCCCTTCACAGCACTCATCTCCACATGGCTTTAATTAAAACAGAAACATGGTTTATATGGTTTATACCAGGGGTCCTGCATGGGGCTCCAGTTCCACCCTTCCCTGCTGCTGTGTCCTGCTACCCTCGCCCATGCAGGACCCCCCCCAGCAGGGACATAACACCCTGTCATCTGTGTCCCCAGCCCCGTCCCAGGTGGTGGTAGTCCGCCAGGAGAGCACGGGCCAGAACAGCGTCACCTTGCTGTGGCAAGAGCCAGATCAGCCCAACGGCATCATCCTGGAGTACGAGATCAAGTACTATGAGAAGGTAACACTGAGCTTGCTGCTGCAAACCAGTTCCAGCGTGGGTGGATTTAGACAGGGGCAAGGCTTGGTTTAAATCCTGCTGGTGCAATTGCTGCTATCAGCCAGCCTTGCACAAATGACTATTTTGGAAGACTTTGTGATTGCTGTGCTGATGCAGCAAGGTGTTTTGTACGGCTTTTCCCCAGGACAAGGAAATGCAGAGCTATTCGACTCTGAAATCCAAGGGCACCACTGCCACAATCTCTGGGCTCAAGCCTGCAACCCGCTACATTTTCCAGGTTCGGGCTCGCACCTCTGCTGGCTGTGGGAGGTTCAGTCAGACCGTGGAGGTGGAAACGGGGAAGCCAGGTGAGTGTGTGCAGCTGTGGGATGTGGCAAGTGTGGGGCAGGGAGTATGGGGGATGGTGATGCTCTTGTCCACGGTGATTGTGCCTCTGCCACACAGGGAGGCTGGAGGCACATCTCCTGGGGTTTCAGCCTGCAGGGCTTGCTGGAGGTTGCCCTCCTGGGACGTGTTTATACATTAGAAAGAAGAGGGAGGAAGGACCTAGCAGTTAGGGCAGGGAAGACCTCGTGAGGTCCTGAGACTCCAGACCTCCCTGCACTGGTTTGCTGCATCCTTATTGCTTTCCCAGATCTGTGCTTGTCTTCCCCATGTGTAAATAGTCCCTGTATGCTGGGAGAGTCACAAAGATGGGGCTGGGTGGGGAATGGTGCTTGGAACATGACCCTGTGAGTTTCTGAGCACAGCAGAGTGCTCCTCACTCCAGCTCTCCTCCTTCCTACCCTGCTTCTTCCAGTGTCTCTCCGGTATGACACGATGACAATTGTCTGGATCTGCCTGACCCTCATCACTGGCCTCGTTGCACTGCTGGTGGTCCTAATCTGCAAGAAGAGGTAGGTGTTTTCTGGAGGTCAGTGTGGCTTGTCTTAAAGCAGAGCAGGAGGGATGGAAGAACTTGGGTGCAACTTTTTCTCCTCTTAGTTTGTCCAGAGCATCCATAGATCAGGGGTTAATAAGCAACCAAGAGGCTTCATTTAGAAGTCACCATGCATCCACCTTCCCTGAGGCAGAGCCGATCTCCAGACCTTCCCCTCGTGCTAGCAGGCTGAATAGCAATAGCCATAGCAACACCAGTACCAGTACCACTACCAGTACAAGGGCTGACTGAATGGGCCAGGGGATAGGTCAGGACTGGAGAGAGCTCTTCTCCATCAGAAAGGTCCAAGAGGGACTATGTGCTGCTGCATCACAGCATGGCTGAGCTAGGCATGTGGAGCTCCAGGTCCTCCTGGGCTGCCTACAGCCCTGGCACTGCCTTCCACCATGACTTTGGGCTGCTTATGGGAGCAAGCGACAGGAACACCCCTTCTGACCCTTGTGTCCCCGTGGCAGGCACTGCGGGTACAGCAAAGCTTTCCAGGACTCTGACGAGGAGAAGATGCATTATCAGAATGGGCAAGGTAGGACCCTCCCTGCTGCTGCCCCTGGGGCGTGAAGGACCTCAACCCTGCGGATGGGACCTGGACCATTACCCCCGACATTGCTGTGGTTTCCAGGGGAAGGGTTGTAACCACTGCCTGCTTCTGGGGATGTGTCTGGGAGAGCTCAGCGGGGGCTCTGGTCCCATGGGCATCCTGGTTATGGGGTTGAAGGGTTGCACACTGCAAGATGGGACTGTGGCAAGTTCATCCCAGACAGCAGCAGGCTGAAAATTCATCACAGGCGAGATGTGGGGTAGGGTGGGCAGTGATGGAGAGGGACAATCACATGGAGGAGACCTGGTCAGCCAGGTCCTGCACTGCTCTGAGGACACTGCTAAGCCAAAGAGTGCCTTAGGTTTCCTTGGGGCTGCAACCTCTGTGGCTCCTCAGTATGTCAACCCAAGAATTCCTGCCCCTGCCCATCCTCTGTCCAGCTGCTGGGTGCCCCTACTTGACAGCAGGGGTTCCAGAAAGAGCTGATCTCCTCTCTCCCCTTTGAAACCTGGCAGTGAAGTTCCCGGAGTTCAAGTTCTACGTGGACCCCCACACGTACGAGGACCCCTGCCAAGCTGTGCATGAGTTCACCCGTGAAATCGAGGCCTCCCGGATCAAGATCGAGAAGGTCATTGGGTCTGGTGAGTTCCCAGGACAAGCTGCCTATTTGCATTGTTTCTACCCAGGGAAATTCATGGTGTGAGGTTGTGCTGTCCCCATGGTCTGCTGGGACCACAGCAGGCTGCGCAGCATCAGCACAGTGCTCAGCCAGGGCTTCATCTGCTCCTTATCCTTTTGAGATCAAAATCATGGATGGAGTGGCGGTTTTTTGGTGCATGAAATAAACTCTTTGGAGGCAGCCTGGAGTGGAGGGTTGCTGTTCAGCCGGCGTGGCACTGATGGCTCAGGCTGATGCAGTGGATGGCTCAGCCTGTCCTGCATGGGTGCTCCAAAAGAGCCACCCTGCTTTCAAACCTCGAAGCAAGCATCTGGGGTGACAAGATGCAAATTATATCACAAGGAAAATAGTAAATTTTCAGAACAAAAGGAATTTTTGCATAGGAACAGAGGCTTGCAGGGAAGCACAGGGCAGAGATGGAGCTGGTACTTCACCAGCAGCACCCCAAGGTCTTACCCCAGAGCAGCATTAGGAAGCCTGGCTGAGAGATATCTCTGCTGCTCTAAGAGACTCACAAATTTGTTCATTAAAAGCAGTAAAGCAAGTGCCACTGTAATCACTACTCTTGGCCCATTGCCTTCAGTAAAAGGCATCAGAAATAGGCACTTTCTGATATTTCTGCCCAGTTCCCAGAGGTCGCACTGGAAGCTGGAGGTGGGCGATCCTTTCTGTACTCAGAGGCAGTGATGCACAAAGATCCCAGGCATCCTGAGGGGCTGGAGCACACTGTGAGCGTGCCGGCAGGCTGGGTGATCTGTGGTGCTGGTGGGTCAGTACAAGAAGCAGAGAAGCTCCCCATGCCCTCACCTTCCCTTGCCTTGCAGGGGAGTCGGGAGAGGTGTGCTATGGCCGCCTGAAGCTGCCAGGGAAGAGGGAGATTCCCGTGGCCATCAAGGCACTGAAAGCAGGCTACACAGAGAAGCAGAGACGGGACTTCCTGAGCGAAGCCAGCATCATGGCACAGTTCGACCACCCCAACATCATCCATCTGGAGGGGGTGGTGACCAGGAGTATGTGGCTGGCAGGGATGGGAACCTATTGTGGGGCAGAGCTGGGATGTATCTCCATGTGGGCACCCTGGGAGATGGGGGGCAGGGATCCCTTTGGGTGCACTCCATCCTTCGACTGCCCCGGTTGCTCACTTGTCAGATGTCCATTTTACTCGGGGTCCCCTCCACTGTCAGATGTCCATTTGCTTGGGGTCCCCTCCATCCCACCCTCTTGCCTTCTCTTACAGGACAAACTTTCCATGTGACAGCTCCCCACCTTGCTCCACAGTGCGCCCCAGGTCAGGGTTATTGGTTTAGGAGACGTCCTACCCATTAGTGTTTATTTTAAAGGCTGCCTGTATTGAATCATAATTTGAAGTCTTCCTTCAAAAAGGCACATTCTGATGCAAAGTGTTATGCTAATGAAATGCAAATTTCAGTGGGATAACGAAGCTGTCCTAGCCACATCAATAGCACCTGGAGGGAGGGGTAAGTGTTGGGGTTATTGCCACATCCCCACCGTCATGCCTGTCCTGCATGGTGCGGGGATGAGACTGCTCTGCAGGGCTGCAGGAGATCCACAGGCCTGGATTCATGTCTCTCCCAGTAAAAGCCTGGCACTGGGCTTCCCAGAGGAAGGTGACTTCTCTGCTAATTTGACCTCCCTTGTCTTCTGCAGGCAAATTGGTAATGATTGTTACTGAATACATGGAGAACGGCTCGCTAGACACCTTCCTCAGGGTAAGGAGCTCTTCTGTATTTTTATTCATTGCACATCCCTGTGGGCTGAGTGACTGGAGAAGAGGTTGGTTCCTGCTCCTCAGCCTCGCGGTCACTGCAACCCCAGCAAGAGAGCGGTGTGCTGCGGGCTCTCACCTCTCCAGCAGACTCTAGCTCCAGGGCATTGCGGCCAGCTCCCCCGAAGGGGCACTGCAAAGGTGGGAGCACCCACCCGAGCGCTGTGTCAGAGGCACTGGGAGGCCAGGAGGAGGCTGGGGGGACAAGAGAGAGGCACTGGGGTTAGAGGAGGTAGTAACCCAAAGATGAGAGGTACTAGGGGTTAGTTTAATGAGCACAGCATCAATAGGATGCTGGTGAAAACCACAAATGAACTCCAGGTTATTTTCTCTCCAGAAACACGATGGGCAGTTCACCATCATCCAGCTGGTGGGCATGTTGCGTGGCATCGGAGCAGGCATGAGATACCTGTCTGACCTGGGCTACGTGCACCGTGACCTGGCTGCCCGCAATATCCTGGTGAACAGCAACCTGGTCTGCAAAGTGTCTGACTTCGGCCTCTCCCGCATCCTGGAGGATGACCCCGATGCTGCATACACCACCACGGTGTGTGACTCCTACTGTTGCACGTTGCAGTCTTGTTGAGGGTGATTGCTCCAGGCCACTGACAGGTGGAAAAGTTAGTTGCACTCAAGTTAAGATAGACAGGGGAGGAATGGAGACAGTCACCTCACTGCTGGTGTCTGGACCAAGATCATGAACCCAAAGAGCTTCTGAGCTTTAATGCATTGTGCTCGAACTGAAGTGTGCAGTGGACAAAGAGAAGCAGGGTGGGAGAGCAGGGAGCTGATCAAACCTTCCAGCCAACAGCTCCTGTGGGCATGCATGGCCCACTGCACAGGGACACTCCCATGTCCCCACTGGAGCCCTTCCCTAGGCTGTGGAGCTGTGGGTGTTATGGGACACTCTTCGGTAGCTTGTTTTCCACACCTAGTTTTTCCATGTGGCTGTGCCTCAGCCAGGGGTGTGGAAAGGGTGGGAAATGGCTTCACAACCTACATGGTTCTGTTTTAAAGTAGGACACTTGTGTCTGTAAAGCCAAAGCAGTTGCAGCTTGGACAGATGAATGCATAGTGACCCAGTCTGAATGTGGTCTTCATGCTCCTGGCTTGGCTTCAGCTAAGTGGAGAAGTGAGCCTCTGTGCGCCTTTGCATTCAGCTGTCCCTTTTGGTATCTCAAGAAATAACTTGATATTCCAGATCTTTTAGTTCTGGGGAAGGTTCCTGCTCCTTGTTTCAAGTACAGCATCTTCTGCATCTTTGGGACTCTCAGACAAAGGGTAAGAAGAGACCCAAGATCAGCTAGGGCTTCCTGATCTCAGAGCAGCACACCTCCTTGTCCACACAGCCTGGCTGTCATCCCACCAGGCCAGTCTCTGAGTTTTCCCCCAGTGCTTTTAATCTTTGCAAGCAAATTTCCAGAGTATCTCAGTGACCACACTGGGTCAGGAAGGTGACCTGAGTGATGAGAGCTCATGTATTGACCTACTTGCTGACCCTTTCCAATCCTGCTCAGTTTCTAGGGACACTGTCTCATGTCCCCAGTGCGAATGCAAGCAGGGATGTCCCTGGAGGATGGAGCAGCCACCGGGCACGTCACAGGCAGAGGCTTTGAGGTGTCTTGGCACACCGAAACGCACCAGAGCTGGTTGCTCTGGGGAAAGACTAGGTGCATAGTCCAGATAGAGCTGAACCACAAAGATGCAAAGACAAGGAGCACAAGATCTCTGGTGAGGTCTCGGTCAGGGTATCCTGAAAGTGAGGATGCTTTACTGTTCAGAAACTTGTGATAAGATGGTATCCTGTGTTCCTCCTCTGTTGTCCTTGACCTGCTCAGGAGATTAGCTCCCCAAAGGGACTCTCCCAAAGCACACATCCTTCATCTTCAGTTCTCATCAAGGAGTGCACCAGAGCAGGCAGGACTCTGTTGGGTGGAGGCAATTCTGCCTAGACAGGGATACCGGAAAGGTGCTCCTAGGCACATCACGCCTGCCCCAGCTGCTCTGGGAAACCCACCCTACATTCCCTGTGCCACAACTTTCCTCTTCAAATGGCTGGCAACCACGTTTCCAGCTTAAATGTATTCTTAGCCCATTTATTGCTAATTTTTGTCAGTATGGTCCTTTGATTCAGCAAGTCCTCCTCTTCAGTGTTTGGCTGCCAAAGCAGTAATGGACAGGGAGCACATGCCATCGCTCTCCTTGACTGCTCAAGTCAGGCTCTCTGCCTGTGCCCAGGGTCAGCTCCATGCTTTTGTGCTCTGGTAGCCCTCAGCTCCACCTCAACACTTCAAATCCCTCTTTCTTGAACACTGAGGGCCAGAATTGTGCATGAAGAAGACCTTGTAAAACAGCATAGCTTTCTCCTTGCTCTACTGGAAATATCTTGAAGCCATCCCTCACGTACACCTCTAGGCTCACCTTGTGCAGATTGCCTCCTCAGTCCTTTCCAGAAGATGCCATCCGAGTGCATTGATTGTCTAATCCACTGTCCCAGCCGCAGAGGGGTAGGGATGCCTGAGCCCTGCATGCTCTGAGCCTCCACTGTTCCTCTCTTTTTCAGGGGGGGAAGATCCCCATTCGCTGGACGGCTCCGGAGGCCATTGCATACCGCAAATTCTCCTCGGCTAGCGATGTGTGGAGCTACGGCATCGTCATGTGGGAGGTGCTGGCCTACGGCGAGCGCCCATACTGGAACATGACCAACCGGGACGTGAGTGGACACGGGACAGCACGGTGGCAAGCCTGCCTCTCCTCCTGCCCTCACCCAAGACAGCCTAGCAGGGGGATCGGGGAAAAGGGACCCAAAGAGCAGCCCTCGCCTGTCCTCACATCCTTGCAGGGCTGTGCACAGTGTGCTTGTCCCCTCAGTGGGGACATCAGTGTGTTGCCCATCATTGCATCACACAGCCTTTCCCTTTGCAGCACCGTGACTCCGGGCTGTGCCTGGCTGTGTGCACTGTGGGTCTCACCATCCCCATCTGCTGCACTCTACGGGACTTTCTCCTGGCTGGAGGGCTTCAGCACGTGCTGTGCCACCTTTCCCATTCCCTGGAAGGGGTCAGGGCTTCCCTAGGAAAACTGAAGCCCCACGGCACTAGCCTGACAGTCCTTCCTGCAACAGTGGTGGGGGTCCATCCCTTCTACCACCCGCGAGGCTGTTGAGAGCCCTAGGCTTGCACCACCTGGCAGCAGGCTTTGGGCTTGTCAGAGTTATGGGGAGCTACTCTTACCTCAAGAGTAGCATAAAAAATGTAAGAAAATGCAGGTTATGTTCCTGACTACAACCTGTGAACAAAATTTCTGAAAGAAGGCAATAGAGTTAATATTTTGACTCTGCAGAACCACAGGACTCCTTTTTTTACCTGTGTGGACTATAAGCCTGTATGCCTTCTCCCTGCTCTGGGAGTCCTGAGAGTCCCCTCTCTCTCTAGTGTTTTTATAATTTTAGAAAGTGGCTTTGGTGACAACAGGGCGTGGGTGCAGTGGCTTACACTGCCTCCTCTGCACTGTTCCTTCAAGCAGAGTTTCCTCCAGCCTTCCTGAGTGGTGGCAAGCCCTGGTTGTAGAACAACAGAGTGTGAGTGCAGCTCTCGTGGCTTGTCTGCTGGATTAAAGCTGCAATATTTTACAGTGTTGGACCACTGAATAAACCCACTGTCAGAGCAGTGATTTCTTGTACGTGTATGGTATCCAGCCTGCTTCCAGCTCTCCACAGAGACTGCACCCAGCTCACTGGCCATGCACTTGTCATTTAGCATGAATCTTGTGTACACTCACCCTCCTTCCCCATCTGATGGCCCCGGCAGCTCATGCACCAGGCATCTTCCCTGTGTGCTGCCTTCTGGGGTGCTTGGAGTTGGGCAGGAGTGGACCTCCACTCCGGCATGTGACTTCCTTCCAGGTCATTAACTCGGTGGAGGAAGGCTACCGCCTGCCTGCCCCCATGGGCTGCCCCACAGCCCTGCACCAGCTGATGCTGGATTGCTGGCAGAAGGACCGCAGCGAGAGGCCACGCTTCTCCCAGATTGTCAGCATCCTGGACAAGCTCATCCGCAACCCTGACAACCTGAAGTGCACAGCCACCGTGAACCGGTAAGGGCTCCCTGAGCCACGGCGATGCGCAGGGGTTGACAGCTGATGCTGGGCAGAGCACGTGGGTTGCAGCAAATAAGGGATGTTTCTGTCCAGCTCTAGCAGCAGTGGCTTCCCTGCAACCACGGGCATGCATGGGACCCATGGGCACAGGTTGTAGTGGGCAGAAGGAAGCATCCTGCGCTTTACTGCCTTGTTCCCACTGTGGCATCCCCACGCCAGGGTCTGGTCAAGCACATGCAGCAGTGCCCAAACAGAGGCGTGCCTGCCTTCGCCAGCCTCCAAGGAGTCTCTCTGTCCTGCCGTCCCCTGCAGGGTGACAGGCTCTCTGAGGTGTACCTCACAGTATGGCCACCTAGGACCAACACCTCTTGGTCTAACCCCTTCTGTCCCGCTCCCAGGTTCACCCAAACACCCTTCGACAGGGGCCTCCTCGACCTGGCCAGCTGTCTGACTGTGGAGGACTGGCTGGACTCCATCCGGCTGGGACACTACCGCGACAACTTTGCCATGGCAGGGTACTCCTCCCTGGGCATGGTGATGCGCATGAACATCGAGTGAGTACCAGAGAACAAACAGCACTGGTGGAGTTGCCCTGCAGCATCCATCCTGCCTTGGCTTGCTCCTGAGCCAGAGACACAGCCCCAAGGAAACTGTGCTTAGCCCATAGCAGGTTCACGTTGAGACCTGGGATGATGCCCAAGGCTGTGCTGACCTTTGAGAGGAGCTGTGGGAGTCACACTGAGAGGGTGTGAGTACTGAGTCACCCCTGGTGCTCTGTGGTGGCTCTCCAATGTCAACATAGGTTCATAGGTAATTTGGGTTGTAAGGGTCTTCAGGAGGCCATATAACACAACCTCCCGACCAAAGCAGGGTCAGACATGAGGTTGCTGACTCCTTGCACTTCTCACATTTGTTTGCCCTGAAAAAGGCACGTCTGGACCAGAGTGTGGCTGGGCCATACTGTGCAGCTTCTCTGGGATTACTGGGAAACAAACAGCTGGGAGGCACCTCAGAGCTTCTTCAGACCCTGATGCACTGGACTGGCTCCCTGCTCAGCGCAGCTGGGTGGAGAGGCACCATCCAGGGCCTCGGTGTGAGCGGAAGGTCATAGCCAAACGGGCAAGGCTGAGTTAAAGGAGGGCTGGAGAAGACGTGTCCCACCACCCATCCTCCTCCCGCTGTAAAGAACTTGCTCTGCCACCTGTCCACGGCTTCTCTGAAGTGGCTCCAAGTGATACCAGAAGGGACTGCCACTGTGCCCACTCCTACCCTGGGCTGTCTTCCCCCATCCCTTGGCATTAGCATTAGTGCTGGGCTGGCAACAACCTCTCCTGCCTCTGAGATTTGTTCCCTGTCAAAAGGCATGGGGCTGACAGATGGTAGATCCTGTGACTCGTGAAGGATATGACAGTGCACACCTTGGTCAAGCTGGGGCATGTAGAGAAGGAGCCAGTGAAAGGGAAGATGGAGAGACACAGGCAGAGGGCTGTCATGTGCATTGATCGGGGGCTGTACTTTGGGCCTTTGCTGTGGGATTGAGCTGATACTGATCCTTGTTTCTCATACGCATCGGGAAAGCTTTTGAGTGGGGAAGGCTCATCATCCATCCGTCTTTCTGACTGGGTTATCTGAGAGCATCTCGCTAAAACTGAATCCAATTTCAGAGCATCGATCTTGTCACCTACAAGTGTGTCAGGCGTGATCCTCCTCCTGCTCCTGCTCCTCCCCATGGCTGTCACAGCAGCCCTCTCAGGAGGATGTACCTGAGGGAATGGCAGCCTTTCTGTCCCTGGGAGGATGCTCATGGACCCTCAGCAGCAGCAGCCTTGTGCTGATGGGCAAGCGGAGAGGAGCCAGGCACAGGGTCCTGGGCTGGTCCAGGGGTGGGTGCACAGGGACGAGTAGCGTCTCTCTGCAGCCCAGCACAGGTCCAGCCCATGGGGTGTCTGACAGTGTCCTTGTTCTCCAGGGATGTTCGGAGTCTGGGCATCACCATGATGGGCCACCAGAAGAAGATCTTGAGCAGCATCCAGGCCATGCGGTCCCAGCTGATGAACACAAATGGCCCCAGGAGACATCTCTGATCACCAGCTTTGCAGACCCACATTGGGCATTCCTTAACACTTACCCTGGCAAAGGGGCAGCAGGGTGGTGAGCAGGAAAGGGGGCACCAGACTAGGACCTGGAGCCCCGCCAGCATCTCTTTGATTTCGGCGTCAGTGGAAACGCAGCTTTCCAGATACCTTGATGGTCCTGCTGCCTCCTTCCCCCATCTGAAGGGGGGAGCAGCCTTCCAAGTGGGACATGTCATGCCTCTCTCCATCCTCCACTGTCTCCCTGTGGGACTGGGGGTCCCCACACAACTATGCAGGACAGGTGGTAACCCCTTCACACAGCGGGATGGCCCCAGCTGCACCTGCAGACGGAGGGGTATCAGATGCAACAGCAATACCAGGGGCAGTGGGACTGGGCTTGCCATGGCACACAGCTCCTTTGGATCAGACAGCTGGGGAGTTTGTTGCATCTCTGAACTGAGGGGGTCCCCACAGGCTGATGCACTGCAGAAACAATGCTGCTCCCAGTACCTCTCAGTTCCAGCGTATTCCAGCCTGGACTTCCTGAACTGCACCAGCCTGCAGGTGACTTCATGGTCCATCTCTACCAAGCCCTGGAGATCAGGGGACAGTACAAGATTGCAGTGCCAGGAACAACTGGCTCTGCATGCAGAGGAGACTTTCCCAGCATGGAGAAGAGGTGGCCAGGGTCTGCTATCTGGAGCCTCAAGAAGCCCCAGGGTGCTGCAGGCAGCTCTCCACCTCTGGAACCCACCAGCACTGCTCCTCTCTGGATCCAGCACAGGTATCCCAGGGCAGCCCAGGCACATTTTCTAGGGCCACAAGCTCAGGTTACTCCCCCAGCAGAACAACCATCCTGGCCTCCCCCAAAGCCGTACCAGGGCAGAGATGAGTGGAAGAGTTTACTCCTATCTCACATGATGGAGGGACAGAGACTTCTGCCAAACTCTTCTTTGTTCTTATATTGCCCTAGAGAAAACAAGAGCTGTCCCATTACCATGCTTCCTGCCTATGCCCAGGGCTGCTGTGTCACCTGCAGAAGAGGGGTCCTGAGCAACGTTTCCAGCTGCAGTGAAGCAGTCCTATGGCTGGGGACAGGGGCTCTGGGCAAAGAGGATCTTCAGCACTACCCAGACGGTGATCTCCGTGACTGGGAGGTTGCCCTTTCCTCCACAGCTCTCCTCTCTCCTCCACACGAGCATCTCTTCTGGTGAGCTTGCCTGGTGCAGAGCAGTGACTTCCGAAGACACGGAGCTGGTGGGAGAGGCTGAGCTGGCTGCAGAGATGCAAATGTGCCAGGGAGAGGGGGCAGGCTGTGGGCTGGGAGGGTTTCTCTTGGGTGTAAATACAATTTTCTATGGGTTTGGGAACTGTTTTACTGAAATACGATGTTAAGTACACAAATACTGGTCTCAAAGCACAGAAGCCTCAGTTGTGGGGCTGAACTCACTGCAAAAAAATACACTGGGAGCGTGGCTGGGGAGGGGGGCTGCTGGTGAAGGAGAAGTGCTAGAGGGGAGCCACGCTGACTGCCAGGGACCAGCCTGGCCCACGGCACCCTGTCCTTAGCACTGGCACAGTAAATCCAGCATCACTCAAATGCAAGTACTGGTAGGATCTGGCCTGAGGTCTGTTCCTCCTAGTGCTGTTTGGGCACAAGAGGGGTGGGGGGGAGGGTTAAAGCCACTTCTCAGCTGCAATAATCCTGGCTAACCTTGCCTTTCTGGGGCTGGTTTAGCTTTCCATCCAGGGCGCTTATGTCCTGATGGATTCTCTGATGGTGGCGGGCACTTTACTTCTTCCTATGGAAGCTCTTTGTAACGGGGGACAGATGCAATGTGTTGTTTAATTTGTATTGCACTCTACATCCTGCACTAAGACCTGTCACACACCCGCCCTGCGGTCAGCATCGTGATGGAGGTCAGTCCCAGCCCTGCAGCACAGGATGGTGGGTGCTGGCCATGTCCTCTCTTCCCAACGTTTGGAACTCCCCAGAGTGTGAGTCCATCCTGGGCAAATTGTGGAGAGCAGAGGTCAGACCAGTGCCACAGAACCGTGTCCCTGGGGTTTGCTGGGCAACCCTGGTAACGTGGGCTGCAGGATCTGAGGCTGGGAGCTGCCAGATGTCCCCTTTCTACGTGGTTCATGGGTCAGATCCTGCAGCATGGGGTCACTGGGCTGCTCCCAGCTGCGGGGATGGTGGGGCAGGGTTTACCTTTTATGTTCAGAGTGTGCACTTCCTCCTGGACAATAAAAATCCTTCTTCCCATGGGCCATCTCCTTGTCTGTTATTGTCCCTGTGCTGCAGAGAGCTGCTTCACCACCTGCAGAGAGCATGAGGGCCTCCATGGCTGCTTCACAGGAACAGGGTGGGCAGTGCAGGGATGCCCACCTAGCCAACACCATCCTCCACTCCGGAAAGCCTCCCGCACCTGAAGGATGTTTCCCTGTAGAGCAGGAGTGTCTGTGGGATTGGCCCATGAGTTCAGGGAAGAGCCAAGAGGCTGATCATTTGTAGGGTCCCTGTGGGGGTGTCACTGTGCTACAGGCTGGGAGAAGCCTCCCCAAAACCATCAAGTCATTGCTATGTAGGGCAGGGGGACATGCAAGCACGAGACAGCTTGCGTGCAGAGGCTCCTCTGAGCCTTGGGGTTCTCTTGCAGGTTTTTCCAGACCCAGACTTACCCTCTCCTGGAAATTCAGGAATAGTTAAAAAAAACCACCACCACCAACAACAACAAAACCCCAGTAAAACCTCAGCCCTCATCCTCCAAAGTCTGAGCTGAAGTATCTCATACGTGGCCTTGCAAAGCCCATCTCGCAGGCATTTAACCGTGGTTCCAGCTGCCCTCCAGTGAAGGATCTTCCAGCATATGCGTTGCAGGGACAAAGACAACACCAGTATTTGCAGGAAAGAAGAATATTTCTCTTGCCATATAAAACCAAAAGGGTGGAATTGGCACTATCCATGTCACTGCCTGTTTGCATATCCCCAGCCTTTGGAGCCCTTCAGGGACGGAGGTGACTGTCCCCAGGCAGTGCAGCCCTGCTCCGCATCCCCACTGGGGAGAAAGGCCAGCCGTGCTCCCCCACAGTGCCGTGCAGCCCTATCGTCCCGGGCACCCAGCCCTCCTTGCACCAGCTGTCTGTGTGTTATCAAGTTATCCTGCCAGCCCCATCCAGAGCGTCCTTCCTCCTGGTCCCTCCTTTCACCATTCCCTCCAGTGCCCAGCACCAGCCCCCAGGCTGGGCAAGCTGCAGCCTCCCCAGGGCTGAGGGCTGAGCTCACAAGCCCTGCACTCCACACCCCCTTTTATGTATACCCATTTTGGTATTTGCCTCTCCCATCACGACCACCCACATCATGACTGCAGGATGCCTGTTGCTCCTCCTGTTGCTGTTCTGTCCCAGACCCTCCTCTTTTCCCCACCATCACCCTGTTTGGCGTTGTTCCATCTTTCTAGTTTTCTGGAGCCTTTATCTGCCAGAGACTTCAATAAACATGGTTGGGAGGGACCTGTGAAGGTCACCTCATCCTGCTCCTCTGCATGCACGTGCAGGGCACACAGCTGTGCAGGTTCTGCTCAGACCCTCACCCCATCACCCCATCAGACAGGGTCAGCAAGCATGTCACACCTTGCTCATGGTACTCTGCTGGCACTGGGCCCAGTGGGACAGCCTGGGAATGCTGGGACATGGCAGCGTTCACCAAGGACCCACATTTCACTAATTTATTTCCGTTCTGAATAAAGTCAGTATCCACATTGTGCAAAATGTACAAAGTTTTCTTACATTTATCAATCTCAAAGCAAACACTTGATCCATGGAAGGACGGATGATGCTGGTGCCTGGCTCCTTCCCCCCAGTACGGGCAGGGACAGACACACCGGGGTCGGCTGGTGTGCATTGCTCCGCGTGTATTCAGGCTGCTCCACAGCTACTATAGCATCACTTTGTGAAATACTGTGAGGACCATGCCCAGGGCATCACCCTTCTCACAATCCCCAGGAAGACGAGGCAGGGTTGTGTAATTTTTAACATGTCATTTCTACCCCTTCTGGAAGAAACTGCCACGAAACTGCCGTCCTGGCAAGGGCCAGTCATCAGGGGCTCCTCTCCACGATATGGAGTGCTGTTTCCAGCCCTCGTGCACTGCTCTGTGTTCCTAAAGCTGAGCCCCACAGCAGGCAGGGGCTGTCTGGTCTGGCCAGGCTGGGGACAGGGCTGGCACCTGGTCCTGATGGCTGGGAGAGGAACCAGCTCGGCAGCAAAACCCCTGTGGAAAGGACTTAAGGAACCTGTCCAGGGGAAGGAGCTGTCAAGAGGCAAAGTCTTCTACCCAAGGAGAGGTGACGGAAACTCTGGCTTATGTATGACAGCAAATAAACCCCTTCATGTATCAAAATAGCCCTCAGGATTTTAATATCTTCTTAAATGTCCTCCAAGAGACTTTTATTTCAAGTTGTACCACTGGGAGCTGGTCTTCTCCTGGTAAAATAGCTTACCTTTTCTAGTCACACTCAATATTACCCCAAGCTACCAATAAGTCATCTCTGAAGCATTTCATTTACAGCTGTCCAGGCCAAGTTCGGCTGTGTCATTAGCAAGTGAGGCTCTGCGAGCTCTGTGTGCCTGGAGGTGGCAGTCTGGACTTGCAGAGCACCTGCAGAGCCCTGCACAGAGCCACCCGTCTCAGCTCTGCACCCACGCTCACTTTGTGCCAACTTTATGCAGGTTTGCGGGGGTCAGATACACTCCGTGGATGGTGTTAACAGATGGTGAACTCTGCTTTGTATTTACTGATATGATTCCTGTCTGATCACATACCAGCTTAGTCTGCCAAGGAAGGCTGTATTCCCAAACCACTTTCTTTCTCTGCTTGTAGCATCAGTCATTTAGCATCGTGTCCAAGCAAATTACTCGGGGTAACCTGATGTAAGCTAGAAATATCATCCACAGCTGCTGTTTTAACCCTTGAAAGGGTTAGCAGTTAAGTACTCCGTGGGTTT